TCTACACTAATGCAAACAGGTACGTATCCGATTTTCATTGCAACAACACACACCACACAATATAACACAACACATCTCATAAACATCACAAAACTCACTCACTATCACACACGCAATCACATACACTCGCAAACTCATGCACACATACACACACACACACACACACACACAAACACATCAACACGCTTAACAACATTCGACCAATATCACTCGACCATTTCACAACACAAATACTACCATCTACTACACACACACCATCCATCTCACTCTCACTTCCAAACGCCTCAACCATATACACACTCACCCAATCACACTTTCACTCTCTCACACAATCACTCCTTCTCTCACTCACTCACTCACTCACTCAGTCACTCACAAATTCAATCAATCAATCACTCTCTCTCTCTCTCTGTGCGTGTGTATGTGTGTGTGTCACACGCACACACTGTCTCTCAGTCACCACGTCGGTCACTCAACCAACAAGTCAATAATTCCATCAACCAGTCTGTCAATCACTCGCAACACCACTAATCCAATCCTTGTCTACAACAGTCATCCACTATCTCTCTCTCTCTCTCTTTCTCTCTCTCTTTCTCTCTCACATTCACACACACACATTCATTCACTAATAACAACCAATACACACACCCCATTATGCACACTTCTCCTCACTCATCACTCATCACTCATCGCTCCTCACTCATCACTCCTCACTCCTCACTCCTCACACTACTCTCAATTCATCTCATGCATTCTGTGTCGTCATCATCCACACATACAAAACACACTCACTCTCTACACATTCATTTCCCACTACTCCTTCTCAACAGGTGTCCATTCCGATTCCACATCCATTCCACCAGTCACCGACATCACTCAGTCAACTCAGTCTGACCAAACCACATCCACCTCACACTTGATCGACACCACGCCAACAATCTCCACTACAGCATTCCAGTCGACAGAATCAACAACACTGCAAACACCAGTCTCAACTCCAGTGTCAGTGTCAGTGTCAGTGTCAACATCACAGCACACACCAGAGTCCACATCACAGCCATCACCACAGTCTACACTAATGCAAACAGGTACGTATTCGATTTTCATTGCACCATCTCTTTCGACATTGAATTTTTTCATTTTATTTTCACGCGGTTAATTCCATTGGTCGTTTATTTTGATAATTTACTTTCTCGCCTTACGTAGCCTAGGCTTCTCTAGTTTACAATACATTGTTTTGAGTCGTTCTGTATGTTCAGTGTATGCAGATCTTGCTCTTCTTCATCTAAGACATAGTTTCTTTTTTGCCATGCAGTAGAATGAATACAGAATCTATTAACATCACCACTTTTAACCCCGTTACACATTTCACAATTGAATTTTCAGCCATTGTTCATACATTTATGCAGTTAACCTTTAAACACTCGAATCGGAATACTCGTATATATTTCACACGCTTTTCATCTCCCACTATCAACACAATCTGACTACAAAGGTCTTCAAGCTAATGCAAGCTGTAGCACTCATTTAGTTGTTACACGGTATTTCCTGATATCTTCCATATCTCATTAATGTGTTTCCGTTTTGTCATTTTTTTATGCGCTCGTGCACTCATTTCATTTGCTACACATATACTTAGTCACTGTTTTTTCATTTTATGTATATTTAATCTTAAGCAACGTGTTTGTTCAAATTTGTGCATTCTGGTCATTGTGGACCGAAATGACCATCTGTCTCTCACGTTTATGTAGTCGAGTATTCGACAGATTTTGATGTTCACAAACACGTATCCGGATAACGGTGTCTTGACCTGTTTCACAGAATTCATTTCACCCATGATTATGAACACTTGTTTATTCAACTTCGTTCTCCAGGTGTATCTGGTATACCGGACAGTTACCATCTCAACACCGATACACTATACTACAAATGTTATATATCAATTTACAACCTCGTAATGTAACAGCTTGACTAACACCTACTCTCCTCCTTTCGAATTTAGTCCCACATAATTAGTCGGCATATTTGCTTTCCCAATTACCCAGTCTGTCTTTCAACTAACTGCACACATCTATCCATGATTGACCAACACATGTACAACTTCACAGACACACAACTGATAAATCTGCCTCTGGATTTCCCCTCTGTGTGTGAGCATGAACGGAAAACCACCCTCAGATACACACTTGTCCACACGTTCAGGACCTGTCTGTCATTGTCGAAATCTAACTCACACTTATCCGACAGTCGCTCCTGTCAACGATTTACTCCATACTATCAATAATCTACCAACACGCTCTCACACTCTCACAGTTTGCCGTCTCTCCAACACGTTTGAACAAACATTCACTTACTTAATCTGCATCATCATCACCAGCATCATTCTGCCTCCATGTTATTAAAACCTATTTCTACATCAGGCCCTATGTCTCTCTCTCCACCTCTCTACACATTAATGTTGACGTACATTTCGCACAATCTTTATCCCATTGAATATCAGTTCATTCTTACTACTTGTTTTCAACAGATTATGCATTAAGTTCCGCAACCATTCCATCAACAACTGACATTGCTCACCCGACTCATACTCAATACTTAACACCTTCGTCACGTTTGTTCAGCAGCACAGAAACATCCACGTTTACACAAACGCCTTCGGTAGTGGTGTTATCTACTGCAACGCCAGTCCAAGCTGGTAGGTAGTAAAGCTATCTTTTCTGGCTTTGTGGTCTTTGTAAACGTTTCATTCAGCACTCGTTTCTCTGAGTTTCAAGTCCTCTTTCTAAAACCGATTCTTCAGTCGTTTACCACTCTATCACCCTTCCCATCATCTTACGAAGCACTTGATTTATATCAAAATGCGTGGACGCATCGCATTGCCAGTTTCATCTAACACTCATTCACTCCAATCAAAATTCAATCGTCTACCAACCATAAGACGCACGCACACGAATAAATTAGGGACTGTCTGCGATATACCATAACACACAAGCAACTGACAAGAACATCGAGAGTGATAGCTAAGTTCCGATGCATTCTCCATCACATAATCTAGTTCGCCTGTGTTCTCCGATCCACACTCTTCGTATTCACATAATTTCATGCATTCAAACACTAACATTGTCTTCTTAATATCAACCAAACAGAAATATACTCTGTCATACGACTGCAAGTCCAGTTGCTTAAATCTTGAACATTTGTGCCCAGCTCTGATCTCGTATCCTTTTTCTTATCACCAAGGTTTGTTTATCTTCACATTTTCAGTCTCCCAATAACAACAAGCTCTCATATTCGTCTTCAATTCACTTTTACATCAATACATTTTGCCTCATATTGCTCTGTATGTTGTGAGCAGTTCTAGATATTTTTGCATCAAGAAACACTTCTTATTACGTTTCCACATTCAAACATATTTACAAGGTATCATCAGGTCTCTTCAATATTCGTCCCATTGTTGAACTTCATTTTGTACACTGTTTCACAGGCAGTACCATGAAATGTCCTCTTACGTTTTCATTAATTTCAAACAGCCATGTATATGGAGATCAAATCAATGTGCTTGACATTTGTACGCTGACTCATTTGTTTCCTAACACTCAATCTGGAAAACGTTGACAAGCACATTTGCATACAGAGCTTGAATGATAAGTCCCGTTGTTCACTTATATTAGTAAAATGGCACGGCAAAATAATCCAGTGAAATTTACTTTCCGTGTTGTCAATCCAAATATAAGATGTACATCGTGTTCAGTCGATTGAATGTAAATTTCTATTCCTTGTGGTGGTCTTAGTGTACTTCTGTGAGATCCTCATCTTCTGAATAGTTTCTTATGTGCTTAATAACCACATCACGACACACTAGTCTTTCTGTTAACAAGACTTTGTAGCACGAACTTTAATTAAATTATACAAAACACCAAGAACACTGAAAGTGAGATCGAATTTGGTGCTAATATATTCCGCGAACAGTATCATGGTCATCATTTACCCGGAAGGACATGATCCAGATCTCATTTTCGGAGCCACAAATCAAAACTAATGATTCATGCACAATGAATTGCATACACGTATTGTTTCAACAAATATCTTTTCTCAAGTTTGTTGTTTTATGTCGCAACTTAAGGATATGTGAAGAGCTGTTTGTTTTACTCACTTTCAGCTCCAGCCTTCGAAGTAAAAGGATTGTTGTATAAGGATCAAGGAGCGAGACCACACATATGGACTGATGATTTGCTGAATCCACTGACTGAAATCTATCAAAACCTGTCACAATCATTCTGTCGATTAGTAAGTTTAACCGTTATCAGTATTCATTCCAATCTTTATGCATTTAAGATAAGATTTTAGTCACTTAATCTCTTCACACTCCCACTCTCCAAAAGTTGTATCACACCTCATGGAAAAAACCGTCAACCTATATCTCAGTATGTGTGTAGTGGAGAGTGGAGAAAAGAAAATGTAGTGACCAATTTGTCTCACTTCAATAATAATTCTAACATATTGAACATCTCGCATCGAACAGATTCTTCGCTGTGTTCTAACACAATTCTGTGTACGTAAGCATTATATCAACTGGTCAGTTGTTACTCTGTTTCGGCTGTTTAAATACAACAGTCAGTGGATCATAAACTAAACACTCGGTTATGTAGAAGATGAGACGACTGGGAACTTGTTTACATCCACAATAGAACCAAATCGACATTTGGACATTTGGAATAATAGCTCGTATTGCTTATCATTCGACTCACATACTGACAACTGCTAGAGTGTTGTTGTCCGTCATCATGGTTGTTTTCATCCACTGACTGGTATGCCTTTGAAGAATTGTCATAACCATCCTAACATTTAGTACGAGTGCCTACGTTTGTCATGACTGCTTCACATATCAATGTCAAAGTAGTTTTATTTCAAGCCGTCAAGAAGGGCGCGGAATATTCTCAATCAATTATGAAGTATAGAAACCGAAACTGAAAGTGAACAACTATCAAATAATTAAAGATATGATCACGGTTGCGTACAGCGAAGCTACTACGGTCGTATAAGATGCAAAATAACAAGACTAATCACAATTCTCTTTTTCCCCACTCATCAATGACCAGGTTTTAGATAGTTTACGTTTGGGCAATCCAGATATTGCAAAAGATGCAAAATGTCACAAGGTTGTTTTCACACCAGTCACTATATTCTATTATCAAAAACGCCAAGTCGATGCAACAGGGAACTCTAGTGAAAACTCTACTCAAGGTGTACAGGCGAGTTCAGAAATACAACTCGTGTCACCCAATGCAACAGAACTTAATCAGACGGAATTCAACAACATTCTCGTTACAGGGTACAGTCAAGTGAATTCAAGCAGTGAATTGCAGTTATCCAATGTAGAAACTAACGGTAAGTCAAGTGATTTGATTGTCTCGACTTCGCACTTTTGTATATCGTGTCCGGTTTCGTTTGTTAATAAAAGACGAGAGGGAAACATACGAACACACGACAAATTGATTTGTGAACATAGAATCAGTTAAATTGCGCTAATGATAATTGCGAACACTTATCTTATCGGATGAAAACGGTAAGTGAAGAGACCCTGAGCAATTGAGAATACAAGTTGGAGTTTTAGTAGATGGGGAGAAATAGAGATAAGCAGATGAGGTAACTCGTACAAGCGAAACATAAATCTCAACAACATATCGACAACGTCCTCCACCAAGTGTTCATCAGTCTTCATGACTGTATACTGTCGATTGAAGAATTATTAGTGGAAAACGTCTATACTGACAGTATGATTTAAGTGAAACAATTAAGGGATTTTCATCACGAGTTATGTAGACAATCAATGTTTTATTTAGAATACAAAAACAAGATTGTTGGACAATATCTGTCATAAGAGCCAGTTCAGTCGTAGCCTATTGATACTCAAATACATATTATTATGATAAGTAGACTGTATCACAGAACACAATAATAAATAAGTATTATGCTAAACTATTACATTATGAGCCTTCATGTGTCTGCGGTTATGTGGAGAAGTCAACAAAATGGATTGCGATGGACAAAGCATGAATATGTGAGAATATATGTTCTCTATCATCCAACACTCCAAATACGTATTCTACATAGTTCATTTTCTTTAGAAAATTGCTTGACATGTTACCCAGTAATAGCTCACTCACTCACTCATCGACAAAATTAATCTTCTCTTACATTTCTATAGTTGTTATACCCGACTCCACAACAATAGTCCAACTCACAAAGACCAGTATACAAACTCAGTTTGAAGAGTTCACTACCAACCAACACGTCATCAGCACTGAATCACAAATCTCAACAGAATTATACAAGTTCTCGTCATTAGGTGAGTCTTTCGTTTCCTCATTTTAGTGCACCGTTATACATTCATTACATAGTTCATGAGTAAGATAATCGATTCAGTAAAACTACAATAAACACATATATAAAGAAGCCGAATCACTCTAAATAAGTTATATCTAAAAAGAAAATCGAAGCAGATAACAGATAAAGCAAAACGGCGAAAAATATCTTGTGCAACACATAACCGAATAAAATGGAACGATGTAAATGATAAAAAAAATTATGCAAACCACATAGTAGAAAACATAAGAAAAGACATATCAGAAGAATAAAAATTCAAGTCATAAAAAATAAGTCATTATAAAAATTCTACACATTCATTTCCCACTACTCCTTCTCAACAGGTGTCCATTCCGATTCCACATCCATTCCACCAGTCACCGACATCACTCAGTCAACTCAGTCTGACCAAACCACATCCACCTCACACTTGATCGACACCACGCCAACAATCTCCACTACAGCATTCCAGTCGACAGAATCAACAACACTGCAAACACCAGTCTCAACTCCAGTGTCAGTGTCAGTGTCAGTGTCAACATCACAGCACACACCAGAGTCCACATCACAGCCATCACCACAGTCTACACTAATGCAAACAGGTACGTATTCGATTTTCTTTTCACAGCGCTTGTCTTTGTGTCACAGTCCTTTCCACTAATATCTGCCGTTTTGGTTCTTTGTAGTTTGTGTTGTTTTTTTGTCCCTTCTGTCATTAATTTTTGTTTCGGATTTTCCTTTTTACTTTTTTTGTCTTTGCTTGATATCCCATTTTTCTTTCCTATCCGGTTTTTGCCTTATATTCTTCCACAATTTTTCGCTTTTTTTTTTGTATTTTCCCTCTGTTTTATATTTTTGGTTTCTGTTTATGATTTTCTCCCGTTTTTATTATTTCTGAAATATTCTTCAATTATTTCTCTCATATTTTGCATGAACCCATCTCCACACTCTTTACGTCTACGTATTTTTTGCATAATCTCTCGCATTTGCACACACATAACTCCATGAAAAAATATACTGCGATTGAGAAATTACTTGTCGAGCAGTTGACTTATATATTTTTCATCCCAGTTGATAACGTTTACAATCTTTCTACTGTATTATAATGTATAACACAGTTGAGATTTCAACCGCTCTTGTCTTTTGCTTCAGTAAATCAGTATTTATCTTTTACCAGTTAATTTATTGACGAAATATATAATATCCTGTGGACAGTCAACAATAGCATCCTTATCATGGAACGAATTCAAAAACTTCATTCTTGCACTCGAGCACAACCTCTAGACGATTGGGTCGGCAGACGATTGTTATCTTTTTTTTACTTACTTCATTCAATTTTTGATATTTCGAGGAAGAGTGAAACTTGTATGTTCGATTTCCACTGTCGTTTTGTTTATGCACAGTTTTAATAACTCATGTTTTGGTGCGAAATGCTTCCCCGCTTGCAGTGGTGGTTCATTTGATTCAGTGCGTGTTTAAACGAATGTCAATCATTTGCAATAATGATGAAAGTATTCTAAGAAAATAATTATAAATAATATAATTGAAATATGTATTAAAAACGTTGACGGTACAAATGAGAATTTCATAATATTCAAAAGAGTAGGAACACGACTGAGGTAAAAAGCAAACAAACATACAGGTGACATTTCAGAAAACTAAAGAGTTGATGTTTACTCCAGAGCTTGAACCTAGCACCGTTCACTTCGAACGATTTCGCGTTATTTACTTATCTTTTAAATTCAAATAACTAATACTCTGTTCCATGAGGTGAAGTTTAATTCATCTACATTAGTTTTCTGGATCTTCCCATTGACGTTTCTGTTGTGGATGCGCAGGAATAGACCAATAATTATCATGTTAAGTCCAATGGTGTCCTTGGACTTTAAATGGACATTTCCCATTGGCCATTATTTATTTCATCCGTTAAATATTGTACAAATGTTGTTTTCTATTTTTATGGTACGATGTGGTATGTTTGGTTAGTATATAAATAGAGTATGTTTGAAATATAATGATTCATATCTCCGAGGCTGTGACTTGTGTTCTGGACTCAACTGACTGGGCTAGACAGGGAGGCGAGACCAATCGAGACTCTAGGTCGTTCGTACGTGTTTACGTGCCATTGTAATCGATCGATAACACAGGGTAGAAATCAACCACAATCTAAAGTCATAACAGTTTAGAACTGTAATTGACCAGTCTCTTTAGGTATAAGTGCATTATGTGTTGATTAATTCAACATCGTAATTAATTGATATATATTTATTTTTAAGCAGAGAGGAATAGACCTTTACTCGAAAGTGTATTCGCAAACATTATTCAGACAAAACTGTTTTGTCCAAGATCGAAGTTAACCAGCAATTAATAACAAGTGAACGGTGGCTCAATTTTTCGGATTGGTTGAAGTTAGATAGTAACACTGTTGAATGCCAGCTCAGTTGTCTAGAGGTTAAAGGTTCACGCTCTGATAGAGCATCTGCGTCATTGTAAATGATTCTAAACAATTTCATACAATTTCCAGCAACTAATCGCCGTTAGTGCATAAACCGCAATATGGTAATCTTTATTTACCAATATGACATAGAAGAAATGTCAGTGACTTCAGGAACTGATGCGGTGATTTTATCTAAAAGCTCCTACCCTTTTTCCAACACACTCAAACATCCGTAAATATCATCTGTCGTGGGAACATATAACTCGTTAACGAGAGCAGTGATTGAAATAGTCTAACCAGTAGAGGATTATTTTTTTTCTGGACAAACGTAAACTCATATTTTTTACTTCTTAATACATACAATCGATGTCAGGTAGTTGATAGTTATAGCCTTAAGTAAATGTAAGATAACCGGAGTTTGGTAGCTTGGTATTTGCCCAGAAATATGTCCATGTACTCTAGTGAATGTTTTACATCAATTCTATGCATAAAAATCATGACATTCATATGACTTGAATATTATCAGAGCTTAACGCAAACAATGCAAGGTAAGAGACAAGAAGATGTGCTTACATAAGCTAACAAATGACAAGGTCAAAATGTGATTTGAAAAGAATGAATAGATTGATCGATCCAAAAACTAGAATAACCAATATGGGCTGAACATAAGACCAGTCACATCATGGTAACTGAGTTGTTTATTGTTTACATGGTAATTGATTCTCTTAGCTTTATTGTTCATTATTTCCAATCTGCTTTTTCTCTGGTTATTTCAGTCATCTTTAATGAAACTACAATATCTACCGAAATGTCAACAAGTAAATCCACTGAAAATAAACTAGATATTTCATCAGTAACAACATCAACTCCAAGATTTATGTCAGTCGTTACCAGTCCAGAATATAATTTCATTAGTGATGGTATATCTTTTGAAGCTTTTGAAAATACTCTACCTCCATTATTTGATAGTGAGTTCTTTTGTTCTGTTTGTATGTTTGTTTTTCTTTTGGAAAAAAAAATATTTCCATCTTTTATGTGATAGAATGTTACATATTTAGGCGTGACTATAATTTATGGACGAACCAATCAGATTTAAGATAACAGATCTTGGATTTCGGTGCGAAATTCATCCATCCATTTAGTTAAATAGCGTTTACGCATTTCAGCTAATGTCAATTCGTGATATAAACCATAAATCTTACGCTTAACCATAACCATCAAATGTAAATCATAATTCTATTTCCTTACACTGTTTTATAACCATCGTTTAGTCCTAGTTAGTAGGTGGACATTGTGAAGGTTAGTTTAACGTCGCACAAAAATCTTCTATAAATTATAGTATCACCATTCAAACAATAAAACAGTATTTATTTATTTATTTCAATCGACATAATTGAATACATGTATGATATGATAATTATCCTTGATGTGATGAGCATAAATTAGTGTTGTTAGTGGCCCAATATATCTTAATCCAGCTAATTCGTATTTTGACTGTTACTGAAATCAGCACTCTATCAACCATCGTATATTTTCATCGATTTAATTCCACGATAGAGAATAACGGAATAGAATATGTCGAATACGAAAATGAATTCTGAATTCGTATATTTTGCACACTCACTGATTCAGACAGACAATCTCAGACACGAATTGAAAGAGGTCAACCGAAATGAAACAAACCGAAACATAGTGATATGCAGCTGAGATGGCAAGTGAGCCCAATCGTTTTGATCAGTCGTTACTTAATATCTATATTCAGAAGAAAATAATATAAAAACACTTCATGAATACTGTTATGTCCTGATAAGAATAATGAGTGGCAAATTTGGGATCCATTTATGGACTAATACTATACGTTTATTTTTTCGTATAATTGTTATGTGACTAAATTATTCATATTCATATTCCTCTCATTATAAACTTTATTTTGACTTATGAACCATTATCATAAGTCATGCCATTCTTGAATTGTGCCCTAAGCCATGAAATAATAACAGGTCTCGGATGTCGTCGCGAAATTCATTCATCCATTTGGCTAAATAGAGTTTTCCAATTATATCTAATGTCAGTTGGTGATGGGAACCCTAAATCTTAATCCTAACCTTAAACATTAAATATAATTCATAATTGCAATCCCTCACACTGGTTTGTAACCCTCATTTCGTCCTAGTTATTTTAGATGCACACTCACAAAATCACTTTAGCATCACTCAAAGGCCGTCCTTAGATTATAGTCTCACCAAACTACTTTATTTGTAGATGATATTTTAAACCATAAACGCATCATTATTATTACAGTTTTATAAGAAACCGCCGTTCGTATTCAGAGTTGAAAGTTGGTCACCGTAATTGTTGTCATTTCCTAGATATGGTCATGATGATGGATTGTAGCCAGCTGTGAAATCTAGGATATGAATTTCATTCTATTTAGGATTCACCAGTTGAATTTACCTGTATTCCAATACTGATATTCTCTCATTGACACGAACTCATTATCTTTCGATTTAAACGACTAACTGATGTGAACGGGGAAACAAGAAGCCCTGACAAACTACGAAAGCTGTTTATCTGGACGTTATTTCATTTTATTCAAAGCTTGTAAAACATTGACATTTATTTTTGTCCCTATTTTATTCTATAGGACATGAGCTTTCTTTCGATTTATCATTCATTGCCATGCCCCCTTTTGTTCCGAGGCTATTGTAATTTAAACATAGTACTTTGCACTTTATTTTCTACCCTAATTCCCAGTTTCGGACATAATTGTAGTTTTCCAAATTATTGTACGTTGTGGTCAGGTAAATCACCTATTTATTCATGTACCTTTTTGCACTAATCTGAATTCGGAGATTTAACAGGAAATCAGGATATCGCAATACGGCCAATAGTGTCCCAACTGTCTTGTCTTCTCTCATTTGCGTGCTTGCCAGTCAATCAGGTGCTAGAATAGTTCTCTTCTCTCTACCCCACCTCGAACTCACTTGTACTAGCCTCAATGTTAAACTGATCGGCCTATTGCGTCAAGGTCTTAATCTAGAGTAGACAGATCAAGGTCATAACACTAACTCATTATATTTTTGAGTAATTCCCTATCTAACTTGACTTGTCAGTTTGAACAATGCATTTAGCATTTAAAAAAAGAGGTGATGGTTTTAAGTCCCAGTGTGGAAATTAACTCTGAGTTGCTGATATATTCAGCTGATGAATCAATTATAAAACGAAATAACAATCCTATCATTCTATTACTAGTGATTATCCATCTACTCTTAAACGTCACTACAGATTTCTACTGCTATATATATATATATATATATATATCTTAAAGTATTTGATATTCCAATTTCTACTTCTCATTTAGAACTTACGATAGGACAAATCGAGGCATTAATCTACAAAGCGAAATCATGGGATTTAATGGAATGGTCAGATAATTTAAGTATACCTACAAGTGCACTTTATTTAAATTTATCATCACAAATTCAATATCTGGTAGGTATCAATATTAATTTTTTGTATTTTTAAATTGAATATTCAAGTAAATCATCATTTTTAATTGTTTTTAGAGTTTACTTCAACATATTACTTAAGATGATTTATGAGTAATACATATAAGCGAACAATGGGAATCTTTAATATTATGAGTAATAAGCAAGAACTCAGTGGCTGAGTGGATAACGCGATGGCGTTTGTAGCGATTGGTACTGGGTTCCAGTCACAGAGTGAACATCAACTCTGAGATGCATGTAAATGCTGCTGACGAGTCCTAAATAGAACGAAACGCGTGTCCTGGATTCCACTGCTAGCCACTATCCATCAATGCTTACGAAACGCTTGTGAATTAAGGTAATATTGAGGCACACGCACAGCATGCACATATGCCAATAACAGACTGATCAATCGCAGGCTTAAACCTTTATGGGAAGATACAAGCCAAACAATACCAAGTGAAGCAAGATTATGTTTGTCTGATATTTACTACTGACTGGAATATATCTATAAGGATGTTATGTAACTTTACTTGTCCGATATCTCACTCCATTTGGTTCGTATGAATCTTATTGAAATATACATATCGTCAATCCTTATATATAATTATCGACTTAATCTTGGTTAGTGAATAACGGAATTAAATAAGTCAAATACGAGAATGGATTTTTGAATACGTATATTTTGTACATTCATTGACCTGGACAGACAATCAGAGTGACGAAGCGAAGAGAAGAGGAGAGAAGAGAGCGAAGGAAAGAAGAAGGCATATGAACCAACTTGATTAAATCAAGCGTCGAACAAAATAAGTAACAGGCACGTGAAGAATAGGATAAGAAGTGCACACACATACACTCATATAAAATCAGTCAAGGTTGATAAGTGAATAATTGACAAGGTCAAGATGTGACCAAAAATATGAATAGATTGGCCTATCCGGAATCTAGAATAAGCTATATGAGCTGGTATAGTAACCGATACTACATAACCATATCACGTATAAACTATAGCATAATCACTAATACTTGAGTTTATACACGTTCGAATTTAATGAGCCCTTCATGGCATCAACTATTTGCTTACATCTTTAAGTTGTCATCACCATGCTTCTTAGATCAGGTATGCTTGATCACTTGTTACAGCTCATACACATATTCCTCTTATTAGCCTAAAGTGGTAGATGATTCAGTCTGTTGCTTATGTTTACGTGCTACTGAAACTTTATTCATTCATCCATTCTCATTTTCGTTCGTATTTGCTTCATTTTCTTGGGGGCTTCGTGAACTGTGCTGTACGATAGAAGACTGAAGTCAACGCTTAATATAGTCTTCTGAAATTTATACACCTTAGGAGATATCTACTAGAAGTTATCGGGACGAGCGATGTATGAAGTTCAAGAGTTATGTTTGAGACATCCCACTGCATCTCGATCTCGAATGAAATAACATTGGTTATGATTCAGCTATTATTCAATTTTAAATATCGAAATTCTTAAGAAAGCTGATTGTTTCTCCGATATTTGAGTGATTATGGTTCGAATCATATAGGGAGCATCAATTCGATCAGTACTGAAGTTAAGCCATGTTGATGAATAACTACAAATTAAATTATCTACGATCATGATAATGTGGTGAATATGTTCTAATACAAACGCACTCTTTTAAAACAGGCGTCATGCAATCCGCCTATGATGCCAAAAATCTCCGGATACTTTAGAATAAATAACTTTCCTATTTTTCCATGGACTGATATATTTTTAGTATAGGGAGAATTATTGGAGATCATTGAAATTTCATGGTATATAAACGACAAACTGATCTCAGTTAGACTACCATTACAACGTGAAATCTTTGGGTAGCTGTTTTGTCATTAAATGTAACTCCAGTACTAATAAATCCAAAAACTCACCACAAGAAATTGATTTCAGGACCGTCAGAATTGCGAGCGAATCTCAACATACAGACCACTAACCTTGAGTCCGACGGTGTGAATGCCTCACTTCGGTACATTCACGATATGCGGCTTTGATTCTTTTACTATTTTCATAAGCATATTTTCTTTATTTAAGAGTAATATTGGGCAAATTTGATGTTCAAAATCATGAGGGTTATTTAACGACAATGTTTTGATGGCGCACATTAAGCTTTGGTATATTGTTTTATGATAATCACTGATTTAATAGGAAGCATAGACTTTTTGTATTTAATTCACTTGATGTTGTTTTACTTGAATCTTCCCATTAGTGTTTAGGATTGAAATTGACCAGTCACTAATTGGTATATGTGCATACTGTGCGTATTGCCTCGATATCCATCTTTGCATTTTGTATTTAGTTTTTAGTTGATTTATTTAAAACTGATTGATAATTTGAACATTTGATTGCATAACTGAAATATCTTTTTCTTTCCTTAATGATTAGGTTACTAAAAGTGTACAATTAGCGAATGTTCAAATTTCATTCTCGTTCAAAATTCTGAACGTCACGTTCGAAAAATACATGATTCAACTTGGATTCATGGAAAACTTTCGAATGATCGACTGTATCCTCATGAAAATGACGGTGGAAATGAGATCATTGGAAGCTTCACTATTATCCGATAAGGAATTAACGCAGATTTTCATTGAAGGATGGAAAAAGTTGAATGTTACGAGTGGACCAAATTTGGTTGACATTGAGTTCACTCGTAAGTTGATGATATCATATTATGCGAGAAAACGTCTTCTGATAGACTGTAAATGTCAGCTCACTAGTATATTAATTTAAACCATTCCATCATGTTCCAGTGAGAATTCGTGACTAGTAAAATTTGGTCATTTCAGAAGTAGAACAATTGTGTAGAATATCAGGGAACGATAATCATTTTGTAGTTCAAATTGATTGAAGTGATAATTCTAGCAGTAAACATAGAGTCAATCGTCTTGATAGTTACACATTCATCCCTAGACTCGAAAGATTTGGTTTTGATCCCAATTTAAGTCATGAATGTGCACTGATGTGGCTTCTTATACAAGGATTGAACAGCATTCAATTAATTGCTGATATTCAGTTGTGCACTGAAACAGTTAATCTGTGACGAAAGCAACCTAAATAATAAAAACCAATTTGCTTACCAAATACTATCTGTAATAAATAAAAAATATATATCAGGTAAATCCAACTTTTCAATGGAAATCTGGTCTGAGTATGCGGGAGAAATATGAATATACAGAAAAATTATCGAATATATAAATGAAAATATAGTTCTCCGGTTAACTCAGTATTGAAAAAGATCAGACAATAATACTAATAACGGCGAAAATAAGTATTTTCCGTAGTAAGTACACGAATTCTAATGCTAATTTATGAAAATGGTTATACAAAAACAGGACAACGGACACTGTGAAAACGATCAGCCCATTAACAAATAATGGGTCAGATGCATTCGATAGTTCCACAATATTTGTAAGACGACACGACGTCGTCCGAATCTACTTCCGTAAGTAGTGACATAATATTTGGGTTTCTGTTGCAAAGAAAAAACACTCGATCGATTGAAAGATCGCATCAAATATATCGTAAGAGGATATTTCAACTGAGGCACAGACCACGAGGCGTCCAACGTAAACATAAGCACGCACGCTCACACCCATTCAATCAATCAATCGATCACTCTCTACATCTCTGTCTCTCTCTTCCTCTCTCTCTATCACTCAAACACACACACACACACTGTCTCTCAGTCACCACGTCGGTCACTCAACCAACAAGTCAATAATTCCATCAACCAGTCTGTCAATCACTCGCAACACCACTAATCCAATCCTTGTCTACAACTTTCATCCACTATCTCACACACACATTCATTCACGAATAACAACCATTAAACACACCCCATTATGCACACTTCTCCTCACTCATCACTCATCACTCATCACTCCTCACACTACTCTCAATTCATCTCATGCATTCTGTGTCGTCATCATCCACACATACAAAACACACTCACTCTCTACACATTCATTTCCCACTACTCCTTCTCAACAGGTGTCCATTCCGATTCCACATCCATTCCACCAGTCACCGACATCACTCAGTCAACTCAGTCTGACCAAACCACATCCACCTCACACTTGATCGACACCACGCCAACAATCTCCACTACAGCATTCCAGTCGACAGAATCAACAACACTGCAAACACCAGTCTCAACTCCAGTGTCAGTGTCAGTGTCAGTGTCAACATCACAGCACACACCAGAGTCCACATCACAGCCATCACCACAGTCTACACTAATGCAAACAGGTATGTAATCTTTTTTCTTTTCACATCGCTTGACCTTATGACACAGTCGTTTGCACTAATATCTACCGTTTTCTCTTTATTTAGTTTGTTTTGTTTTTTGTAACTTCTCGCGTTAGTTTTTATTTCGGATCTTCCTAGTTACTTTTTTTATCTTTGCTTTACATCTTCTCTTTCTTCGCTATCCAGTTTTCGCCTTTTATTCATCCTTAGTTTTTCCGTCTTATTTATTTTTATTTTCCATCTGTTTTATGTTTGCGGTGTCGTTTTGTGGTTTTCTCCCCTTTTTATTATTCCTGAAATATTCTTCAATTATTCATTTATTTACGAAATATATAATATCCTGTGGACAGTCAACAATAGCATCCTTATCATGGAACGAATTCAAAAACTTCATTCTTGCACTCGAGCACAACCTCTTGACGATTGTGTCGGCATACAGTTGTTTCCTTTTCTTTTACTTACTTCATTCAATTCTTGATATTTCGAGGAAGAGTGAAACTTGTATGTTCGATTTCCACTGTCGTTTTGTTTATGCACAGTTTTAATAACTCATGTTTTGGTGCGAAATGCTTCCCCGCTTGCAGTGGTGGTTCATTTGATTCAGTGCGTGTTTAAACGAATGTCAATCATTTGCAATAATGATGAAAGTATTCTAAGAAAATAATTATAAATAATATAATTGAAATGTGCATTAAAAACGTTGACGGTACAAATGAGAATTTCATAATATTCAAAAGAGTAGGAACACGACTGAGGTAAAAAGCAAACAAACATACAGGTGACATTTCAGAAAACTACAGAGTTGATGTTTACTCCAGAACTTGATTATAGCACCGTGTACTTCGAACAATTTCGCGTTATTTACTTATCTCTTAAATTCAAATAACTAATGCTCTGTTCCATGAGGTGAAGTTTAATTCATCTACATTAGTTTTCTGGATCTTCCCATTGACGTTTAGAACTATAATTGACCAGTCTCTCAGGTATAAGTGCATTATGTGTTGATTAATTCAACATTGTAATTAATTGATATATATTTATTTTTAAGCAGAGAGGAATAGACCTTTACTCGAAAGTGTATTCACAATCATTATTCAGACAAAACTGTTTTGTCTAAGATCAAAGTTAACCAACACTTAATAAACTGTGAACGGTGGCTCAAATTTTCGGATTGGTTGAAGTTAGATAGTAACACTGTTGAATGCCAGCTCAGTTGTCTTGAGGTTATATGTTCACGCGCGAGACTGAGAGATTCTGGATTCAAATCTCACGGGACGGAATCGTGGATGCGCACCACTGAGGAGTTTCACACTAGGATGAAACGGCTGTCCAGTGCTTCTAGATTTTCCATAGTGGTCTAGCTTCAAATGACTCATGAATTCAACTATGAAAAATTACTAAAATCTCCACAAAACCCTTTCTGATAATAAATACAATATTAATGAACAGTTAACATTCTTTTAAATTGGTGAATTATATCTGTTCACATTAGTTTAATATACTTGGAATTTCCACTTTTGAAATCACAAACTGATATAAAATAGACCACCATTAAAAACCTGATAACATGAGACTCCTCAACAGTTCTTATCCATAAGCCTCACGCAGAAATCAAATACAAGACCTTCGATCTCATGTGTGAACGCTGAACATCTATTACTATCATTAAGCCCGCTTTCATCAGTATTAGTGTCTAACCTTAAACAATCCATCATCTACTTCCATATATTCAATTACTAAATAAACTACTTACTTGAAATGATAATAATAATAATAATAATCAATGTTTTGTTATTCTTATCTTTCGGGAAATTACTTTTAATAACAGCAATCTTTAGAGTTCAAGGAACACTTTATACTGGTAACAATTCAGATCTATATCTTTGGTCATCAGATTTAGCAAATTCATCAACAATAGAATATATAACACTAAAAATGAAACTTTGTACTTTTGTAAGTTTTTTTCTTTGTAAGATCTTATATTCACCAATTATTAAATAACAATAAAATTAGGCTCATCAGTTTGAATGTAATTCCTAAATATTGTAACGCATAAAGTTGAATATTGTTAAATACACGGTGGTTTCTGCATATATGTATTTTTTTCATCCCTTTTGAAAATTTCTCTTTCATTACACAAGCAAATGGCTATCAGAAATTAGTAGCTAAGTGAAGTTTGAAATGAACGGTACTTGGTTCGAACGGTGAAGTGAACATCAACTCTGAGATGCAGGTTTATCCGTGTGGCGAGTCTCTATTAGGACGAAACACGTGTCTTTAATTCCACTACTAAAAACTATCCATTTTTGTTTAGAAAGTTTGTGAATTAAAGTAATATCGAGGCGATAAGCACAGTATGCACATATGCTAATAACAGACTGATCAATCGCAGTCTCAATCCTTAATGACAAGATTCAAGCAAACAATATCAAGTGGATTTTTTCATTCCGCTTTGTCCAATATAACGTGTCACACAAGGGCAGTCAAACTGATAAATACAAAACAAGGTGGTCATTCTAGGTGATTCATCTCTTCATCTCAACGCTACCCATAAGCGCCTAGAACAAACTAGTGGTAGTTCTCCATCATTGAATGGTTTTTGGATTGTTCTATGTAGTCTTCTGGATTAATGTTTCGCTAGCTGCATCCCTTCTCACTTGTAAGAGCATTAGGTCAAATGTATCTTTTAAGAAAAACTTACAAAGCTCATTACAGATTTAGTTTAGCAAGTTAGCTAAACATTTTGTTATTTCATGTATAGTTGAATTAGACATAGATAATATTGATTATAATGGATCATTAGGTTTATAAACTGTAGACAATCCATAAAAACTTGAGAGAATAGAACCCATAAGTTTAGGCATATTAAACCCCATTTTTGTTTATGATATTCATTTAGGGAGCCCCATTATATAGGAATTTCGGTGAGGCTCTAATTTATGGACGAGCCATTCAGAAGCGTTTGAGAGATTTTTAAGGTCACAGAGCCAACTTCAATGCTTAATGCAAACGTACGATCGGTTCATAGTGGATTTTGTACAAAACGTGATAATCGAGCGGCTATAATAAATAAAACGGCAGAACTATAATTTGTGGACGAATCAATCAGGTATAAGATCACATCTCGGATTTTGGCTCGAAAGCCTTTCATCCATTTGACTAAATAGATTTCTGGCATTCTAGCTGATGTCACCTCGTGATGAAAACCTTATATATAATTACTAACTAAGGCAATTTATGACAGTTATTGCGAACTGGATAATAAATGTACCAGTAACACTGGTTGCAGCTGGCTGCTACAATATATACAAATCATTGGAGAGCGTACGAACGGCGAGACTATAATTTATGAACGACCTTTGAACGAATTTTAAATGACCTTGAGAAATATTAACCAATCAGCAAACAGTCAGTATAGAACAAAAATATGTTACACAAAACCAAAGAAATAGACTGGATACATTTCTCATACGTGATTCAAAAACTTATCAAGGTTAGAAAGAGGTTCAGAGGTCCTAAATGGTGATGTATGCAATAGAGGAAATCATCCATATGGCTTCAGAATAGTCGGCCGTTGGAGCCATGATAAAATCTCAAAAACTCTTTCAGCCTCGACCACATAGCTTCGATATTTTTGTGTGCACTCCGGTTGTTCAGTACACAAAATGCTACTTGTGTATAACGAAGTTAAAATATATAAGGCAGAATTATTTAGAATGTTATGATTAATAAATTTTGATAGAGCATACATTAAAGAGATAATATTCATGTCAAACTGTAATTGAAAATCAGTATCAGTATGAAATAAACACTAAATCTTCGATTGTGTTTTGTAGTCTAAATGATTCATTTCAATATTAGCATTACAGTCTCACTTTACCGTATTTTGATAACATTTATTCCAAACCCTCAAATGATCTAGTACGGCCGAGAGTAGAGAGAGTCACCTTTCCTCCAAATACTCCCACATGACCACACGTATGCAACCACTGTCAGGGAAGTTCTGCTCACTGCTATTTCTCATGGTGGCGATGTTGTTTACGAAACTGAGAGGATAAAAAGCGAATATCCCACTCTTTTTATACGGGTCAATGGACATGGAGGATTCACCTAAGGGAGTTGGAAAACCCTGATTACAAAACCAATGACGCACATAGACTCTATGGTCTTGAAGTAATAAATGTGATATATGAATCAATTGTTAGTTACTGGTTATCATGAGACAGCATCTTCTCAAATCCCCTGTACTAATCAAAATCAAATAAATTAAGTTTCTTTTTGTATATCTATTTTATTTCACAAGTTGAAATCATGAGTTAATTGAAGCTAGACCACCATGGAAAACCTGGAAGCACTGGACGGCCGTTTCGTCCCGGTATGGGACTCCTCGGAAGTGCGCATCCACAACCCCGCACCTCACGGGATTCGAACCCAGGAGCTACTGGTTTCGCGCGCGAGCACTTAACCATTAGACCACTGAGTCGGCATCCAGGTTTTCCATGGTGGTCTAGCTACAATTCACTCATGATTTCAACTTGTGAAATTTCGAAAACTCTCCACAAAACCCATCTATTTTATTGTTTTATTATAATTATTGTATTTTCTTCAAATAGATTATTGACAGTTTAAATGGAAGTTATTCTTCTATAATTAAAAATGCAAAATGTTCTAATGTAATCTTCATCCCAATAAATGTGAATAATTTACAAATAAGACAAATTAATAATACAAATCTCATTCAAGGTGTTCAAGGAATTGCTGATATTGAATTATTATTTATTAATACTACAAATATAAATGAAAGTCTATTTATTACTGCTTTAATATATCATGGAATGAATATGAGTAGGACTTTTAATATCTATTTATTGAACATTGAAGTTAATCGTAAGTGATTCTATCCACTTTATTATCTTCTTAAACCTACTTTATTCTAATGTATTAGCTCATGAGGATAAACTATATTTGATGAATCAATGTAGATAAGAAGATACAAGTAAATAACAAGTGAATTTAAAACTACACTCCATTGCACAAGTAAGTGGCTATCATGACTGAGTAGCTAGGTAGATAATACTGGGTTCGAGCTTCACAGTGAACACCAAATTTGAGATGCAGGTGCATCCAGCTGATGAGTCTTAAATGAGACGAAACGCGTGTCCTGGATTCCACTATTAGAAACGATCCATTTTTGCTTAAAAAGCATCTATAGAGCATCTCTGTCTTTGTAAATGATTCTAAACAATTTCATACAATTTCCAGCAACTAATCGCCGTGATTGCATAAACCGCAATATGGTAATCTTTATTTACCAATATGGCATAGAAGAAATGTCAGTGACTTCAGGAACTGATGCGGTGATTTTATCTAAAAGCTCCTACCCTTTTTCCAACACACTCAAACATCCGTAAATATCATCTGTCGTGGGAACATATAACTCGTTAACGAGAGCAGTGATTGAAATAGTCTAACCAGTAGAGGATTATTTTTTCTGGACAAACGTAAACTCATATTTTTTACTTCTTAATACATACAATCGATGTCAGGTAGTTGATAGTTATAGCCTTAAGTAAATGTGACATAACCGGAGTTTGGTAGCTTGGTATTTGCCCAGAAATATGTCCATGTATTCTAGTGAATGTTTTACATCAATTCTATGCATAAAAATCATGACATCCATATGACATGAATATTATCAGAGCTTAACGCAAACAATGCAAGGTAAGAGACAAGAAGATGTGCTTATATAAGCTAACAAATGACAAGGTCAAAAGTGATTTGTTTATTTCAGTCATCTCTAATGAAACCACAATATCTACCGAAATGTCAACAAGTAAATCCTCTGAAAATAAACTAGATATTTCATCAGTAACAACATCAAGTTATAACAAATACTCTAAACAATTAACACCCATACGGTCATATAAAAACCATTCAGATTAACTAAGCCGATTATGGACAAGATCAAAATGTGACGTGAGAAGAATGAATCAATTGATCTGTCCAGAATCTAGATTAATCTATGTGTGATTGGTATAGTAACATCCGCCACAGTATTTTGAATATTTCCATTAAGCTGAGCAATGACGTAATAACTTAATATATTAATTATTTTATATTAGTCATAACTTTAAAAAAGCTGGCGAGACTATAATTTATAAAGGAAGCAATCACATTGAAGATAACAGGTCTCGGATCTTGTCACGAAATTCATTCATCCATTTGGCTAAATAGAATTTTCCAATTATATCTAATGTCAGTTGGTGATGAGAACCCTAAATCTTAATCCTAACCTTAAACATTAAATATAATTCATAATTGCAATTCCTCACACTGGTTTGTAACCCTCATTTCGTCCTAGTTATTTTAGATGCACACTCACAAAATCACTTTAGCATCACTCAAAGGCCGTCCTTAGATTATAGTCTCACCAAACTACTTTATTTGTAGATGATATTCTAAACTATAAACGCATCATTATTATTACAGTTTTATAAGAAACCGCCGTTCGTATTCAGAGTTGAAAGTTGATCACAGTAATTGTTGGCATTTTCTTGATATGGTCATGATGATGGATTGTAGCCAGCTGTGAAATCTAGGATATGAATTTCATTCTATTTAGGATTCACCAGTTGAATTTACCTGTATTCCAATACTGATATTCTCTCATTGACACGAACTCAATATCTTTCGATTTAAACGACTAACTCATTACCTTTATAAGTAATTCACTATCTATCTCGACTCGTCAGTTTTTCTTTTTTATTGAACAGTGCATTTAGCATTTAAAGAGAGGGGTGATGGTTTTAAGTCCCAGTGTGGAAATTAACTCTGAGTTGCTGATATATTCAGCTGATGAATCAACAATAAAACTAAATGACAATCCTATCATTCTATTACTAGTGATTATCCATCTACTCTTAAACATTACTGTATATTTCTCCGGCTATATATATTACTTACTTACGCCTGTTACTCCCAATGGAGCATAGGCCGCCGACCAGCATTCTCCATCCCACTCTGTCCTGGGCCTTCTTTTCTAGTTCCACCCAATTCTTGTTCATTTTTCTCCTCTCTATCTCCATTTCTCGGCCTAATGTGTTCTTTGGTCTTCCTCTTCTCCTTTGGCCTTGAGGATTCCATATGAGGGCTTGACTTGTGATGCAGTTGGGTGCCTTCCTCAATGTGTGTTCTATTCACTCCCAACGCTTCTTCCTGATTTCTTCATCCACTGGAATCTGGTTTGTTCTCTCCCACAGTAGGTTGTTGCAGATGGTGTCCGGTCAACGGATCCGAAGTATTTTGCGTAGACAACTGTTAATAAACACCTGTATTTTCTGGATGATGGCTTTCGTAGTTCTCCAGGTTTCCGGTATAGAGAGAAGAGTGATGCTCCTATAGTTATCACACTTGCTGAGATCTCCTTTCTTTTGTATTTTGACGAGAAGTCCTTGCTTCCAGTCTGTTGATACTTGTTCCTCATCCCAAATCTTGCTGAAGAGGATGTGGAGTTTCCCTGCAGTTACCGTTACGTCTGCTTCCAGTGCCCCTGCTGGAATGTTGTCTGGTCCTGCTGTTTTGCCAATATTGATTTGTCTGACGGCCATGCTGATTTCTTCAATTGTTGGTGGGCCAACATCGATTAGGAAGTCCGTGGGTGCTGCTTCGATGTTGGGTGGGTTCAATGGAGCTGTTGGTTTTATGAGTGTTTGCAGTGTTCTACCCTCCTGTTTCGTTGTTCTTCAATGTTCGTGAGTACCTTGCCTTTCATGCATTTCACTGGTCGTTCTGGTTTACGGTGATTTCCGGAGAGTTTCTTTGTCGTGTCATACGGTTCACTCATCTTTCCTACGCTTGCATATCTATATACCTATATATATATATATATATATATATATATATATATATATATATATATATATATATATTTTATACTTCATTTTATCTTCAAATATTTGATATTCCAATTTCTACTTCTCATTTAGAACTTACGATAGGACAAATTGAGGCATTAATCTACAAAGTAGAATCAAGGGATTTAATGGAATGGTCAGATAATTTAAGTATACCTACAAGTGCACTTTATTTAAATTTATCATCACAAATTCAATATCTGGTAGGTATCAATATTAATTTTTCGTATTTTTAAATTGAATATTCAAGTAAATCATCATTTTTAATTGTTTTTAGAGTTTACTTCAACATATTACTTAAGATGATTTATGAGTAATAAGCAAGAACTCAGTGGCTGAGTGGATAACGCGATGGCGTTTGTAGCGATTGGTACTGGGTTCCAGTCACAGAGTGAACATCAACTCTGAGATGCATGTAAATGCTGCTGACGAGTCCTAAATAGAACGAAACGCGCGTCCTGGATTCCACTACTAGCCACTATCCATCAATGCTTACGAAACGCTTGTGAATTAAGGTAATATTGAGGCACACGCACAGCATGCACATATGCCAATAACAGACTGATCAATCGCAGGCTTAAACCTTTATGGGAAGATACAAGCCAAACAATACCAAGTGAAGCAAGATTATGTTTGTCTGATATTTACTACTGACTGGAATATATCTATAAGGATGTTATGTAACTTTACTTGTCCGATATCTCACTCCATTTGGTTCGTATGAATCTTATTGAAATATACATATCGTCAATCCTTATATATAATTATCGACTTAATCTTGGTTAGTGAATAACGGAATTAAATAAGTCAAATACGAGAATGGATTTTTGAATACGTATATTTTGTACATTCATTGACCTGGACAGACAATCAGAGTGACGAAGCGAAGAGAAGAGAAGAGAGCGAAGGAAAGAAGAAGGCATATGAGCCAAATTGATTAAATCAAGCGTTAATCGATATTTATAGTCGAACAAAATAAGTAACAGGCACGTGAAGAATAGGATAAGAAGTGCACACACATACACTCATATAAAATCAGTCAAGGTTGATAAGTGAATAATTGACAAGGTCAAGAATTGACCAAAAATATGAATAGATTGGCCTATCCGGAATCTAGAATAAGCTATATGAGCTGGTATAGTAACCGATTCTACATAACCATATCACGTATAAACTATAGCATAATCACTAATACTTGAGTTTATACACGTTCGAATTTAATGAGCCCTTCATGGCATCAACTATTTGCTTACATCTTTAAGTTGTCATCACCATGCTTCTTAGATCAGGTATGCTTGATCACTTGTTACAGCTCATACACATATTCCTCTTATTAGCCTAAAGTGGTAGATGATTCAGTCTGTTGCTTATGTTTACGTGCTACTGAAACTTTATTCATTCATCCATTCTCATTTTCGTTCGTATTTGCTTCATTTTCTTGGGGGCTTCGTGAACTGTGCTGTACGATAGAAGACTGAAGTCAACGCTTAATATAGTCTTCTGAAATTTATACACCTTAGGAGATATCTACTAGAAGTTATCGGGACGAGCGATGTATGAAGTTCAAGAGTTATGTTTGAGACATCCCACTGCATCTCGATCTCGAATGAAATAACATTGGTTATGATTCAGCTATTATTCAATTTTAAACATCGAAATTCTTAAGAAAGCTGATTGTTTCTCCGATATTTGAGTTACTATGGTTCGAATCATATAGGGAGCATCAATTCGATCAGTATTGAAGTTAAGCCATGTTGATGAATAACTACAAATTAAATTATCTACGATCATGATAATGTGGTGAATATGTTCTAATACAAACGCACTCTTTTAAAACAGGCGTCATGCAATCCGCCTATGATGCCAAAAATCTCCGGATACTTTAGAATAAATAACTTTCCTATTTTTCCATGGACTGATATATTTTTAGTATAGGGAGAATTATTGGAGATCATTGAAATTTCATGGTATATAAACGACAAACTGATCTCAGTTAGACTACCATTACAACGTGAAATCTTTGGGTAGCTGTTTTGTCATTAAATGTAACTCCAGTACTAATAAATCCAAAAACTCATTACAAGAAATTGATTTCAGGACCGTCAGAATTGCGAGCGAATGCTCAACATACAGACCACTAACCTTGAGTCCGACGGTGTGAATGCCTCACTTCGGTACATTCACGATATGCGGCTTTGATTCTTCTACTATTCTCATAAGCTTATTGTCTTTATTTAAAAGTAGTATTGGACAAATTTGATGTTCAAAATCATGAGGGTTATTTAACGACAATATTGTGATGACACACATTAAGCTTTGGTATATTGTTTTAGGGCTATCGGTGATTTAATAGGAAGCATAGACTTTTGTATTTAATTCACTTGATAATGATTCACTTGAATCTTCCCATTGTTGTTCAGGATTGAAATTGACCAGTCACTAATTGGTATATGTGCATACTGTGCGTATTGCCTCGATATCCATCTTTGCTTTTTGTATTTAGTTTTTAGTTGAATTATTTAAAACTGATCGATCATTTGAACATTTGATTGCATAACTGAAATATCTTTTTCTTTCCTTAATGATTAGGTTACTAAAAGTGTACAATTAGCGAATGTTCAAATTTCATTCTCGTTCAAAATTCTGAACGTCACGTTCCAAAAAGTCATAGTTCAAATTGAAACTGTCTACAGATTTAATAATACGGAAAAATACGAATATCGATTAATCAACAGTATCTTCATGAAAATGACGGTGGAAATGAGATCATTGGAAGCTTCACTATTATCCGATAAGGAATTAACGCAGATTTTCATTGAAGGATGGAAAAAGTTGAATGTTACGGGTGGACCAAATTTGGTTGACATTGAGTTCACTCGTAAGTTGATGATATCATATTATGCGAGAAAACGTCTTCTGATAGACTGTAAATGTCAGCTCACTAGTATATTAATTTAAACCATTCCATCATGTTCCAGTGAGAATTCGTGACCAGTAAAATTTAATCACGTCAGAAGTAGAACAATTGTGTAGAATATCAGGGAACGATAATCATTTTGTAGTTCAAATTGATTGAAGTGATAATTCTAGCAATAGACATCGAGTCAATCATTTTGATAGTTACACATTCGTCTCTAGACTCGAAAGATTTGGTTTTGATCCCAATTTAAGTCATGAATGTGCACTGATGTGGCTTCTTATACAAGGATTGAACAGCATTCAATTAATTGCTGATGTTCAGTTATTCACTGACAACGGTTAAATAGTGACGACAGAAACCTAAATATTAGAAATCAGTCTTAAGTAAATCCAACTTTTCCATTGGCAATCTGGTGCGAGAATGCGAGAAAAATAAGAATATACAGAGAAAGTATCGAATATATAGATGGAAATATGGTTCGCCGGTTAACTCAGTATTAAAAAGGATCATACTATAATATCAATAATATCCAAAACAGGTATTTTCCATTGTGAGTATGCGAAATCTAATGATGCTTTATGAAAATGGTGATACAAAAACAGATAACGTGTATTGTGTGCGAGAGCATTTGAGGAGAAATAATTATATTTTACTGACAAATACCACAACTAAAGATTGAAAATTAAAACAACTTTTATATCTAATATAAGTATTAGGTGTTGTATACCATTGATTTGTGAAGGTGTTCTAGGTTGAGACGACTGAATCAACGACAAATACAAATATTATATAATTGTGTGCGTTTTCATAATTATTTGAACAGGTTCACCGACAAGCATGACAGATTCGACAAGCAGTCTTGAACAGAAAGACAGAAGTAGTGTCTCAACACAATTCGCGCAACCGATTAGGACAACGGAGACGGTGAAGACGACATCAACTGTGAAGACGACGAGCCCATCATCAACTACTACATCAGATGATTTCGGTAGGTCCATATTGTTTCTTCAGAATCAACGTGTTGTTCGCATCTATTTCCATACATGGTCACATGAAATTTGAGTTTGTGCTGTGCTCAGTGTTCAGTTGATCGATAAACTGATTGATTGAACGACCGACTGACCGACTGCTTGAGTGAGTGCGTCGATTGAGGCACAGACCCACCTCGTGATTATATTAGATTTGGTGACAGTATCTGAACGGCGTAATGACAACTGAGGACCATTGTGTTTTCGTTTTGCAGTGTTCGACTAGATGGCAGTCTCTCTTACAATTCAGTTCATTAATGTCATTCCGTGCGTTCTTGTGTGCACTTATCTTTTCGTCTATTTGTAAGCATTACTAACATCTTCCGCAGAATGATGAAAAGTGAATCAAACGAAAGTTAGTCGTGAAGACACCAACCAGTAACAATCAGTGACAACATCGATTCCTACTCACTGTATCACCGAGAGCGTGCCTTCAAAATATCAGGAACTTGCAATGAAACTATTATTATCATTACCAATTACATGCTATGGTATTTAAGATTTTTCTCATTAACTTTTCCTTGTAGAGATCTCCGTGTTCGAGGTGGATATTGTGATCTATATTGGAGAACGGTCAGTGCCCATGAATTGGTCAACTGATCTGTCGAATGAGTCAAGTGTCATGTACAGAAATTTGTCGATGTCGATTTGTGACCTGGTAGGTGTGCATTGGTTATGGTTATTGTGTTCCTAGTGTACTGGTATGCAATAATCAGAGAAGCAGTGTGTGAATTGTTCGAATGACACCAGTGTAGTGGACAAATGGTTCTGTGAAATGCAGGAGTGAAAATCTCCAAGAGAGGAAGAGAGAGAGAGAGAGAGAGAGAGGTGGCATAGTTTGAATCAAATTGATGAATGTGTAATGTACAGACTGAGCTAGTAAGTAGGCGTGGAAGTGTGTGTGTGTGAGAGAGAGAGAGAGAGAGAGAACGGACGTTTGTGAGAAGGCAATGAGTTAGTGAGTAGGTAAGAAGTTAGTAGTAGGTGGTGAGTGAGTAGGTGAGCAGGTAATGAGTTAGTGGTCATGTAAGTGTGAGATTGAAGTGAGTAGTGATGAATTGGTGTATTGAGTGTGGTGTTCACATTGGTAGTGTGAGCGTCGGTTAGTTGAGTGAGTAAGCCAGTGATTGTAAGTGATTGTCCATTTGTGAAGTGGTGGTCATGCACTTGGTCATTATAATGATGATAGCGATGATGAGCACTGTTCGACACCGGTCTAATTGAAAATTGTAGTTGTGGTGTTGATATATGAGCAAGCGAACGACGGATCGAGAGACTGACTAATCGACTGATTGTGTATTCTGTGTGATTTTGTTTTGCACGTTGCAGCTATTGAGCGGACTACGTCTGGGTAATGAAGAGTTCTCTCGAGGTGCTACTTGTGTCCGTGTTGTCTTCATTCGGTTCATTATCTGGATTGACGGCGTTGGCCAAGCTCACACAGACGCGGGTGTCAATCGTGTCTCAATCGAAGCTGTTCGAGCAATTGCGAGTGTGCAGTTGCATTTGTCTCGTGGGTCACAACCAACTGAGACTGATCTGACGGAGACTCTGGTTCGTGGATGCACACTCCTGAATATCAAGAGTGGACCAAGTTTGAGAAACATCACAGCATATCGTAAGTCGTCAATTGTTGTTGCCCATTTTGCCAATGATATGTTTTGATATGATATGATATGATGTGATGTGATGTGAGATGAGATGAGATGAGATGAGATGAAATGAAATGATAGTTATTCGAGACACTGAGTGTGGCGCCATTGAGATAGGAGGACAGTGACAGTATTGTTTATCATCCGATTGTTCCCAATCTCGGATGTGCACACCCGTAGTGGAAGCATCCAGCTGAGAGATCAATACACCATGGAAAACGTACACGTGGAGTTAGTGACTGACTTACTGATGGATAGGGAGGTGTGAGACTCTCCAGTTTTCTTTCACAGGTCACATGCATCGTGGTAATGTTGATGATGTCGATTGTTTGTTGTTTACAATGTACGGTGTAGCATTTCTGTGATGTGACCGTGTTGTGTAGCATTGATTTGTGCAGGTTTTGTAAATTGTGAAGAGTGAATCGGTGTGTCAAGGAGAGATATGTGTATATGGGTGCGTGGTGGACCAAACAGTATTTTAATCACAAAGGAATATCAATAAAATCATTACGTTCAAATGTTTATATAATATTAAATAACTTATAAATTAACAACGCAAAATATAAGTTCAGGGACGTTGCGTGTCCCGTTGTGCTTGGTACCAAAGATCCACATTTGTAGATAATTATTAATTCCAATAAAGTAAATATAGCAGGCTTCAGACAGTTTTCTCGACGTAGAATGCAACTATAAAAATAGTTGTTAGTTAATCAATATTTTAGTTATTACATCCACAGGCATGATAGAACGAGACATGTGTATATGAGAGTGTATTTATCAATTCACAGTTAAGAATGTCGTGCTTTGTGTAATTCAAAACGGAAGGAAGTTTATTGTTAAGGTCACATCCTTAAGCAACAACTACAATCGTTTAGGGATAAATGTACAGATTGTGGAAATAAACAAAATAAATGCAAAAGCTATCAAAAATTATTTACAAAATAAGTTTGTTAAGTCTATCTCCACGAAACTTTCTGTTATGAGCTTTGTGGTAGCTCTGATATCTGAGTGAGACAGACCATGCAGGTGTTGGAATATTTTTCGGTGACAAGTATATGGGACAAAGGGATGATTATTATTCGTTGAGGTGTCGCAAATGATGGATGCATCTAAAAAAGGAATCGGTACAGGTTTGAGATTCAAGCTAGACTTTTCTTTGCAGACTTCCAAATCTGCATCGTCTACTTGTAATTTAGCCAAGGTTTCGAGGCTGATGTCGTGGTTGAGTACCATCATATTGATATCCTTTCTAAATGGTGCGTCTGCGACAATGTTGGTGTGGCCTTTAATAAACCGGATGTCTGTAGTGAATTGAGAGATATAATCCAGTTGTCTGTCTTCTCGTGGAGAGTGTTTGTCGTACGATGTGCTAAAGAAATGACGAAGAGGTTTATGATCAGTCATAATGATGAAGTCACGGCCCTGTAGCAAGAAGTTAAAATGTTTTACGGCTAAATACATAGCTAGGAGTTCACGTCCAAAAGTACTATAAGGTTCTTGGGTCGGTGATAATCTTTTGGAGAAAAAGGCTGTCAGTAACCGTATTTTTTACCCGCTGTAGTAATACTGCTTCGACAGCTTTTTCTGAAGCATCCGTACACAGGATCAACAGGGTTGTGTTGTCAGTATTTAGGTGTTGGAGCATGGTAGCATTGCCAATCATGGATTTAGCTTTTTCAAATGCCGTTTTGGCATTAGGAGGTAACTTGAATATTTGGTTATTTTCTTTCTTTGTACATGTTTTATCGTTCTTCAGTAAATCTGTCAACGGCTGTAGTACATCAGTGCAGTTTGGTAGAAATCGTCAGTAGAAATTGCATGTTCCAAGGAAACGACCTAGTGATTTTACTGAAGTTGGTTCTGGGTAACTGGTAATAGCTTTGACGTTTTTTGGAAGTGGTTTAATGCCTTGAGTGTCGATGTAATATCCTAAAATCTCCAAGGCTGGAACATCAAATATACATTTAGAAGGATTAATAACGACGTCTTGTTTTTTGAGACGTTCTTAAAGGGTCTGTAAGTGCTGGATCTGCTCTCCTAGTGATGAACTGGTGATCAAAACATCATCGATATAGGCAGATGCGAAATCTAAACCTCATGTGACTTCATACATGAACCTCGGAAACATCTGAGCGGCTTCACCTACGATGAAAACCCAACTAAATCGTCTGCGGAGACCGAGATCTAGGATAGGTGATTGTTGGACATAGGTTTTAATGACGGTGTTGTCGGTTGATAGCTAATCAATAGTTTGTTTATTATAGCCACAGGCATGATA